GGGGGGGGGCGGTTTCTTTGCATGTCTCAAAGATAGAGGACCCCTGTATTTTTAGTGGCCCACAGTAACAGCAATGTGTTACTAATGAGCAGAACAGCTGCCCTGTCTAATCAAATCTTGGTTGCTGAATTATGTTAACTCTAGCAGTATTGTTTTTCAACTAGTATTGTAATTAGTTGTTGTTGTGTGACCCTAAGGCAACCCCTATCATGGGGTTTTCTTGGTAAGGTTTGTCCCAAGGAGGTTTGCCATTGCCTTCCCCAGAGGCTGAGAGTGTGTGACTTGCCAAAGGTCACCCAGTGGATTTCATGGCCAGGCGGGAATCAAACCCTGGTCTCCAGAGTTGTAGTCCGGTGCTCAAACCACTACGCCATGCTGACTCAGTACTCTATTCTTTACTTTGCCCTATGTTAGGAAGAAAAGTAGACATAACTCATATTCTCCTGCATTGGACAAACAGGGAGGAGTTAAAATGTCAGTTAATCATTTGTTTTTTCACTCAAGCTAAAGTGGTGATACTGCTGCTGGGTTGTTCAGCAACAATGAGCAGCTCAATTGTATGGAGTAGATGCATTTTTGGGGTGCATCTGTACTTCCTCAACTGTTAGGTTGATAGGGTGAAAACTGAATAGGAGCCTTGAAAAAAATCTCAGGAACAGGGGATCTCAGCTGACAGGAAACCAGCCTTATGTTCCTACTGTTGGCAAAAATGTTTTAATAATAGAAATGAACCTTCATACTTTCCCCCCTGTATATCCCAACTGCTCCTTTTCTATTTGACTCTGCAGGAAGAACTCAGATGAAGCTGACCTAGTCCCTGCCAAGGAAGCTAACATCAAGTGCCCACAAGTGGTCATCTCATTCTATGAGGAAAGACTCACATGGCACTCCTACCCATCAGAGGATGATGACAAGAAAGATGACAAGAACTAGCCTGTCCACCCTCCTATCCCCATCCCTCCTCTGGTCAACTTTTGTATTAAAACATCAGACTGGGTTTGAACATAAGTTTGAGAGGAAGTGAAGAGGGCCTTGGCTGGGGAAGATGCCCTCTGTAGAAACAGGACAATTTCTGTGCCCTCAGCAGTTTGGTATGGCAGCACACTTGCTCCCCTTCCTTCCTTCCTTCATCATATTATCATGGGGAAGGAGGGGAGAATGGGTGAGTGTTTCCAAGCTCTTCCTTGCTTGGGGGATGAAGCAAAAATAACTCCATGCAGGACAAAGCCTGAGGGCCGGACTGGCTGCCAAACGGGATGGCAGGTGGAGGCTGCCTGTTCTTTGAAGACCATCTCTGTGATTTGCAGCCTTTCACCCCATATAGTGTTAACTGCATTTTTACAGCTTAGCATGTGTGTAGATTTTCTTTTTCTTTTTCCTATTCTTGGTGTATTGTTGTGGTAAGGGAGGGTACATTCTGATTGATTTGGGGTGGTTCAGTGTTTATAAAAACTCATGTCTCTAAGTGAAATTGACTTGATTTTTACTGACAGGCTGGTGCATATGTGTCCAAGTGTTAAAATTATCATGTGAGACTTCAGCCAGCTGCCACAACTGTCAACCTTCCAAATTGGAGAGGAGACAGTTTCCTCTGATATTTTGAAGTTAGAGCAGTCAGCTCCCAAATTTAATGATCCCCCTCCCGCGGCCCTCTGCATCATTTCTATTTTACCCAGCAACTTTAGGGTAAAATAATTTTTATTTTCTTGTATGTAGATGAACTTGAGAATCATGGTTTTGGGGAGCAGAGAAGGAAAGCAGGGATGAAATTTATCTTTACAGCACAATGGGTTTCAAACATGAAGCTATCTTCTTCTGTTCAGATTTGGGCATTAGTGATTGTTTTCCTTGCTCTGATCCTCTACTGATTTCATTTTTTAATCTAGCAGAATTTTTATAAAGCATATAATTTTCCTGAACCTTAGCAAGTCACCAACTCTTCCTCTTTCACAGGACAGTATGTATGTAGAAATGTATTGTACAAACCTTTTTTTAAAATAAAAGCATGTGTTTTAGGTTTCTGTGAAAATGTTGTCTAAAACTTAAGTGTTTGGATTTTAACTTCATACTGAGCTGTCTTTTTGTCTCAATAAAACTTTAGATTTATAGTTCCAATCTTCATTATTCCTCTGGTTAAGGCCTTTCCATGTAAAATTTTCAAACACTGAAGACGTGTAGCCAGAATTTGGAAAGGGAGATGCCATCTGTTTCAATGTTTCCCATGGTACTAGAAAAGCATCACCCATTCTTCATATGTCAACCCTAAGAACTTGGAGGGGGGTACATTCAAGAAAACCTGCTGCTAAATTGCAGCAAAATCAAAATGCTATTAACACCCTAGGTCAATGTATGATGCAAGTTTTTCATTCATTCTCCCTATCCCACTGTTAGCAGCAAAAATCGCATGGTGTATAATGGGATTGCATGCACTGGTTCCTTACACTACTGAAGCTGACATTAGGCTATATGAATCTTTGTAGCTGAATTTATCTTGGCACTTCTACTAGAAGTAGCCAGAGATTAAATGAGGAGGAAGTTATATGCTAGTTATGACAGAGTAATACATATTTAGTTAAAACTAGAAGGAACGCGCAACAGTGTAGGCAAACAAGACGCCACATCCTATGTTAAATAGCATAAAGATGGTTTTCAATAGCTAAAAAATACCCAACTCAGAAATAGAATTTCTAGTGCTACGACATAAAGAAGTCCTTGTTTTAGGTCACAACCTAGGAAATAGTTTAATATTGTGGAATATGAGCAGCCAATACTTCAGCTTGCTTTAATGTTCCAACTATCTGCTACTTACAGTAGAAAAACAAAAATGCTGATGTCCCTTAAAGCCTGCTTCAGTCCTTACTAGAAAGAAAGGTGGGAATAGTCAAGTCACCCACATATTGGCTGAAGCAAGCTGCTAACTCCTTTTGATACCCCCCATGCCTTGGTTGGTGGCGATTGCCCATATGAAACAATAGAAAGATTAGAGTTTTAGCGTAACCATGAGGAGAACAGCAGACAAGCCTTCTAAATAGTTATTTTAAAAAACATAGAGCACTTGCTTTGTTCTAAAATACTGAGAATACTTTGGTCAATGAAAATCAAGGCATGCCATCATTCTCATACTGGAGGATGAGTGCACTGTCTAAAAATATATCTACAGTCCACCCAACAGTTTCAGTGGTGTCACCTAGTTTTTTGAAGAAAATCGGGGGCTCAGACCACAGGGAAAAGGATAAACATCCACTTGGAACAATTCTGGAGTCTCCTGATGTCACATTTCCTTGTTTACAGTTCTGAATTCCAACAATACAGGCCTGCAAAACTGAGGGTCATAAAAACATGTCTAATGTTTTAAAAGGATTTGGCAATTAAATCCAAATCAACTTCAGATTTGCTCCATCACATAAGTTTTTTTAGCCACTACTTGGTTTGAAGAAAAAATGATCCTACAAAAATAAAGGAAGGGGTTAAAGTCTTCTAATAGACTTTCAAAAATTTTATTTGCTGATATGAAAAACAGAAATATGAAACTTCAAAACTGCTGAAATTGCACTTGATATCAGTATCCATACTTAAAGCTGAATTGATAAAAATGGCAAATTTGTGAAAGAATGTGGTATGACATTTCTATTGTTTTTTTGAATTCCTCAAAATACATTAAAAACAGCTAGTGTTAAAAAAGTATTTATACCACAGGCATGTAATAATTTAAACAGGTTTTTAAAAATGTGTTCAGTATAAGTTACCTCCCTGTTTCTCACCATCAGTTGCACACAGAAATACATATGTGTTTATATATATTTTTTTAAAAAAATTCCTAGCAAGGACTGAGCATAGTCACTCATGTGATTGCTCAGACACCAGATTCCATCAGCCCCAGTCATGCTGGCCAAAGGTGAGGAGCTATAGGAGGAATAAACAAAAATTAGAGGGAATTGTTTTCTTTTCCTCTGCCAAAACTCCACTCCAGTACACAAATTCCTTTGTCCTCTTCTCCATCCTGACAAATGTTACTATTTTTCTCTTGTTCCCAGCTGTTGGAAACCCTGAGGAACATTCCCTTATGTGGAGAAAGGGCACCTTACAGGCTTCGACTGCATGCAGCCCACACAGCAGTTTTTAGGGCTCCTTGGGTCCAAAAATATTTTTGTTCCAAAATGCCTCCCAGTGACTTCTGGGTTTTTAAGTGGTGATTTTGGGCCTTTGCAGATTGCTAGAAATAGTGCAAATTGAGTCTTTAACTGCCCTGGCTCAGTGCTAGGGAATCATGGAAATATTGAGCCTTCTCTGTCAGAGAGCTCTGGTGCCACAATAAACTACAGTTCCCATGATTCCCTAGCACTGACTCAGGGCAGTTAAAGTGGACTCAATTTCCACTATTTCTGGCAGTCTGCAAAGGCATTTTGACATGTTTTAGGCCCAGGAGAGGCCTCTTTTACAATGGGAAGTAACGCAGAAGTCAACCTCTGATCTCCCTGGCCTAAAGTAGCTCAAGGAGGTGGTTAAACACATAGAAAAACTATCCCCCAAACACCCAGAGGATATTTATAGGCATTTAGAAGATGGGTGTGGCTGAAAATTCCTGGAAGCATCACAAGAATTTATGGACAATATGTGGCTGCTGTGACCCTGTGTAATCCAATGTGTCCCCTCTTACTTGTGTCACATGATGGGAGTTACACCACCAGGGATCTTCTTCCTCTGGCCACTGCTTCTGGATGAGATTTTTACCCTTTTACTGCTTCTGTCTCCACACACACAAATCTGATAAAGAGGAAAAAATGGAAGAGCTGTGTAATGTCTAGAAATGCTCACGGTCCCAGCTGCCTAGTTGTCAGCTCTGGTTGGTACTTAGGTGGGAAACCAACAAATACCCGGTGATGTATGCTGTATTTCAGAGGAACTGACAAACCATCTGAGTAATCCTTTCCTTAAAAAAACCCCTGAAATTTATAGGATCACCATAAGTCAAGAGACAATTTGACTTTGCACACATCATTCTAAGGTCTCCTAGAGGGGCAATGTAGCCTTCTAACCTGACAGTTACCCACCCCTGATGTAGTGATTAGGAATACACTGCAACATTTTGATGTGTACCAATAACCTTCCCCACTGACTCCTTGAATATCAAAACTATTCATCTTTTTTGCCATTAACTCTAAATGATTTGAACAGCTGAAAAGGCACAACTTCATCCTAGACCTTCTTTTGAGCATAAGTTTGAATGAGGTACCTGGTAGTCTACTCAAATTCAGACCTTGTTACATTACAGAATGCTGCACAAATGAACAACTCTTTCATACAACACAGCCAACACCTCACTTGATGAACACTTGTCTCTAGGTAAGCCTCCTTCCTCTGCCCTATTTTTGGAACAGTT